ATGTTGGTCTTTAGCTCTTTAGGAGAAATAACTTTATAGTTTGCTTTCTTTGGAGACTCTGATATCTATGATACACTTAGAAGATCAGTCAGAATATGAGATGTAAACTTTAGTGAAGGGGTCATTTTGGAACCAACTCAACATTTATGTACAAACTAGAGGCCGGTGCACAGATTCGTGCACTGATGGGGTCCTTGGCCTGGCTTGCGCCCTCTTGCAATCAGAGACCTCTCAAGGGATTTCGGACTGCCAATTTCAGCCCAATCCCTGCAGGCTAGGCCAAGGAACCCCACCAGTGCATGAATCCATGCACTGGGCCTCCAGTATGCATATAAGATCTTTGGTTAATCTCTTCCCACCCTTCTCCCTCCTCCCTTCCCTCTGAAATTCATCATTCTGTTCCATGTTTCCATGCCTGCGTGTTGAGTGTCTGCCCCTGGGTGGTCAGTGCGCATCATAGCTACTGGTCAAGCAATCAAATGACCGGATGGCTGCTTAGGCTTTTATATATACAGATGAAAGTAGAAGATACAAACATTCATATCTACACTAATTATAAGACAAACTTGATAAAAATTGTAATCAAAAATTCCTGGATAAATGAGCAATTATTCCTACAAAGTCATGAAGAAAAAGCCCTATTAAACAAATTTATCTTAATAATGAAGAAAAGAAGACCCAGGTATACATTAAAATTTAAGAAGTAATTATTAAGGGCTTTTAGTTCAGGGCAAAAAACAAAGTCCATGGACAATGAACCTGTAGCCCGTAATATTAAAAATGAATGTGCTACCATAAGTATTTCAGAAGTCTAGAAATATGAAGACTTAAACAGATTCCATGTAAAGTACTGGTAGCCACATTGGGTTCCTCTGGAAATTAGTTCCTCCATTCTTCCTACCTTCTTTTACCAAGACATCAGTCACTTGTTATTGAAGTATATGTTCTAGATAGGATATCCCATAGAAAAATGACTATATAGTGAAAAACTGATGCTATATGATGGCACATCCTAACTTCACAACTAAAGATTTTTAATAAATAAAATTTAAAAATTTTATAAACCAAAGCAAAATATATATAATAAAATACAAAGGTTTAGTATCTACCATATTTTCCCTACTCTTTGTTTTCACTCTTAATTTATGTAAAATGGGAGCTCAGTTACCAAGATTCAGTTAATTGTTTCTATAAATCAAAACATCTACATTAACAATTTACCTGGCTCTTAGCTGCATTTCCAATGGCTCTAGTTCTTGATCCCAAAGATATACAGGCCCTAAAAGGGGGAAAAAACAATGTTGTTTCCTATGGTGTTTTTATATCAATGTGCTTATTATTCCACTTCACTTTATATAAAAATAAATTAAAAGGATTAATATAATCATGTACTATTTTAAAAAGAGGTTATCTAAAATCAGAATTTTACATATTTTTAAACTTTCATAAGAAATGGAATAGTCGTTAGAATAAATGTTATACTTTTTAAAAATGTTCTATTGGTGGCAACACTGTGTTGGTTTCTAAAATTGTTTTTCAAATTCTATTGGTTTATGACTTACTAATAAAATTAAGTGGATTCACCCTGCTCGGTGTCACTCAGTGGTTCCAGCATAAGCCCTGGCACCTAAGGGTCACGGGTTCAATTCCTATTCAAGGGCACATACCTAGGCTTCAGGTTCAATTCCCAGCCCCAGCAGGGGAGTGTGCAGGAGGCAACCAATTGATATGTCTCTCTCACATTGATGTTCTCTCAACTCTCTCACATGATGTTCTCTCTCTCTCTCTCTCTCTATCTCTCTCTCTCCCCTCCCTCCCTTCCTTCCACTCTCTAAAAATCAATGGAAAAAATATACTTGGATGAGGATTAACAAAAAATAAATAAATAAATAAAATTAACTGTATTCAGTAAGGACAGGCTGCTTGGATCTAAGTCCTGGCTCTGCTACAATACAAGTAAATAACCTTGTGGAAATCACCTAACCATTATTTCCTCAGTTTCCCATCTGGTAGATAGTAATGGTAACACCTGCTCATAGGACTGTATTAATTAAGTGAGTATAGGTAAATGCTTTGAACAATACAATTACTGTTTTTATTTTTGCATTTATATGTAATTCTACTTATAAAAGCAAGTATAGAGTAACATTATTATCAATAATGTAATGATTCAAGAAAGTATTTTCATGATTTCCATTGTAACTAAGGTAACTATTTAATTAACAAATAGTTACAGGCATTGTGTGCATACTAGCTACAATCACTCTCTTTGGATAATTAATAGTCTATTAAAAAATCAGAATATGATTATGAGTGACATTAGCAAAAAAAAAATAGACTAATCACATCTAGATAATAAGGTTTAGAAAAAGCTAGTAGTAAAGGTGATTTCTGAATAAAAGCTTAAAAGAAGAGAAAGCATTTTAATATGTGTTTTGCTGAGGACAGTTCCGGTAGATAGTATATGTCTATTCTCAATATGATACCCAGAGAAATTCTCCCAAAGACTAAGGTCAGCAAAGTCCTCTGCTTACAGCCCTCCCTCTGGCCATCACCACACCGCTGTCTGTGTCCATGGGTTATGCGTGTATGTTCTTTGGCTAATCTCTTCCCCTTCTTTATTCCAGTCCCCCTCCCCGCTTCTCGCTGACAGCTGTCAGTCTGTTCCATGTACCCATGCCTAAGTTTCTCTTTTGTTGGTCAGTTTATTTTGTTCATTAGATTCCACATATAAGTGAGATCACATGGCATTTGTCTTTCATTGACTAGCTTATTTCACTTAGCATAGTAATCTCCTAAATAATTTTTAACTTTTTAATACTTCACCACCATTACTTGAGTGCACAGAAAATCTCATTCTTAGGTTGATTTCTCAAGAGTTTAACTTCTTTTGGAACACTAGATCCAAATAAGATTGATACAACAACTATCACTTAAGTGCTAGATTCTTTGAAATATACTTCACATATACATTACCTCACAGAGAAAGCTAAACAGTTACCATAATCAGATATTCTCTTTAGTTAAGAGTAGAAATATAAAGTTTAAAAAATTTAATGTTATAACTTGGAAATACTCAGTGTCAATATATAGAAAATATAGCTAAAGGTCTTCAAACAGCTTTCTTTGTTTAATTTTTCTGTCAAAAATATTATAGAACATAACCACTAAATAAATATCTGTCAAGAATTTTCAAAAATATCTAAATAAATACCCATTTGCTCTCAAAACTTTTACCTAACTTTAGTAATAACAAGGGAAATGGACATTTTGTATCACATATTAGGCAGATATGTTTTTATAGGAGAGGATATTCAATTGTTTATACAAATGTATAACATACAATTCACATATATAACACTTTTATAGATTATTTCAGCTACTATTTAGAAATTCCATTTTGTACCTAAAAAAAAGGAGTGTTTACAATGCAGCTTAAATCCGTAATATTCAATTTAATATTGCCACTATATTGGCCTTCACAGATTCCCAGAGAATGTCACAGAACTCTAAACAAACAAAAAGAACTTCTAAATGTCCTATGTCATTTTTAGTAGAGGAGGGGCATAAAAATCAAATGACAGTATGTTACTTTAAGAAAGTTATATTGTTCCTTAAAATTTAAGATGAACTTTCCCTCTCTCTTATAGAGCCTATTTTTATAAGGACATGCTTGATTAGGTTGGAGGAAACACATACTGCCAGCAGAATAAGAGATTTCTCACTTAAAAGGTCAGCACTCTAAATTTCTTTGCTTCTTTGTCAATCTCCACTAAGGATTCACAATGCTTTGATTTACCACTTACACTTTTAATATAGCCCTATTTTTAAAATTCTGACCTTCCCTTGCCAGTTTTTATAAGATCACAATTATTATTTGTAGCTTCATCTGCTATCATTGAGTAGACTCTAAGAAACACAATAGCTCAATTAATGATACGAGAGGGCAATCAACTGTTTTAAATTAAGGGGTTAGCTCCTTACACTGCCAATTTCAACTACGATTGCCAACATGTCCATAAAGCAGCCTTGGCACTATTGACACTTTGGGCTAGACAATTCTTTGTTGGCAGAGTGGGGGTATTCTGTGCACTGTAGGATTTTAAAAGCATCCCTGGGCTCTACTTGCTGGATGCTAGTAGCATTAACCACTCTCTACCTCCAGTATATCAAAGAAAAATATCTTCAGATATTGTCAGATGTGCTCTAGGTGGGAGTGGAGGGGGAAAATCTCTTCCAGTTGAGAACCACTGACCTACTGCACATTTTTCAAATATTATCCTGTGGAATATTATTGCTTAGACATTCAAATGAGTTGGGAAAAACATTCTTGGAGTGTTTCAATGGCTATAAGTAAATGAAGGGATCTGAGAAGTTATGCTATAAAAATAACACAAAAACATCTGGTTATTATTTCCCAAACTTAACTATCTAGAAAAATGTTGCCCTAGGAGGAGGTGAGGGAGGAATATTCTCAAAGGACTTATTAATACCATTTGCTTTCTTTGAAAAATAAGACTTCTTTTAGGCCTTATATTTAGTAATAATAAAAACTTGCCAATCTTTCAGTATGGACAATGTATACAACATTTTAACATATAAAAATAATAAAAATTTGTTTAAGCCTGGCAGGTGTTGAGCATTGACCTATGAACCAGAAGGTTGTGGTTCGATTCCAGGTCAGGGAACATCCCAGGTTGTGGGCTAATCCCCAGTAGGGGGCACGTAGAGGCAGCGGATTGGTGATTCTTTCTCATCATTGATGTTTCTATCTCTCTCTCCCTCTTCCTTCCTCTCTGAAATCAATAAAAATATATTAAATTAAAAATATTTAAGAGCTTCCAAATGCTTTTAGTAAGCATAATTCATAAATAAATTAGTTCATAACTTGAAACCATTAATAGAAATCATAAACATTTACATAATTAGAGACAATGTTGGAAAAGTTGATTAGATGCATTAGACATATTATTTAACTATTAGATTATTAGATTAGAGATATCTTACTTAAAAATCTACCAGTTCAAAAACAAGTAACAGTACACAATAAATTGAAAATTCTAGACCACTTTGCAAATTACTACTTGCCCCCAACTTTTGTAAATAAAGTTTTATCAAAATATGGTTATATTCATTAATTTATACTGTAGTGACCAACCACATACCAACAAAGACTACCAATGGCATTTTAAATATCTTAAACTCAGATATTATGCAATTTGTATTTATCATTCCTGGCCTTCTAGAAACCTTATAGAATTTCTCACCCACAAATTCAAGGCAATGAGGGAAGATTGTAGCTAATATTCTACTAAAAGATGAACAGGTGGCTCAGTTAGTTGGAAGTATCATCCCGTATACCTAAAAGTTTTGGGTTTGATCCCTGGTCAGGGCATCTATAGGAGGCAACTGATCAATGTTTCCTTTCTCCTTTCTCTTCTTTCTCCTTCTCTCTTCTTCCCTTTCCCTTCTCCTTCTCTGTCCCCTTCCACTTCTTCTTCCCCCTCTCTCTTTCTTTCTCACTCTCTCCTCTTACTCTTTCCACTCCTTCTCTCCCCTCCTGTCTCTCCTCCTTTTCTCTCCCTTCATCTCTCTCTCAAATCAATAAAACCATACCCTCGAGTGAGGATAAAAATAATCATAAAATAAAATGTTTTTATAGTCCTAGCTTTGGCATGCTAAAGTGTGAGAAGTCTGCCCTACCACCCATCTCAACACAATTTGATTTTTTAAAAAGTGAAGGTGTTCATTGAATTTTGTCAACAGAAAAATAATATTTTGAATTTTCCACTAACTGGCAGTGTATCTATATTTTATGGCCATTAAAAAGGGTAAATTAGAGCCTTATGTACAAGTTTGAGATGTCCACAATATATTTTTTTAAAAGCAACTGCAAAATGTGTATAATGTAATTCTACTTGGTTAAGAAACAAATAGAAAAACATCCCAGTTAGGTACATATGCTCACATACGTGCATAAAACTAGGAACATAGTACACACTTAAGTTAAGAGGTGGTTGGAAAAGGACAAAGGGAAGATTTACTTTGTGTAATTCCTCAGCACTTTTTTATTTTTATTTTTTAAATATATTTTTGTTGATTTCAGAGAGGAAGGGAGGGGGAGAGAGACCTGCACAACTCACATTGGGGATGGAACCTGTAACCCAGGCCTGACCAGGAATTGAATCATCGATGCTCAACCACTGAGCCATGCCTTCTGGGCTCAGCATTTTAAATCAACTATGGCATAAACTCATAGTAAAATATACAAACAAAAGCAATTCATATAATACAAAGAATATTTAATAAAAAACATAAAAGCCTCCTCTTCCCCCCCAAAACGCATCACTATAAAGTCTCCTATCCAAATATAATCACTGTTAATCTGTTTAGCTTGGTTTCCTTTTTTTACTTAAAAAAAAAAAAAAATCCTCACCAGGGCTAGTTTGGCATTTTTGATGTAAAAAAACTGTAATACCCTAAAGTAAGTGATTTCTACTTTTGTGCATTGAAGAGGACATCCCAAATATATGAGATGTAGTGTATAAATAATATTTTCCCATACTGTCAGGTTCACACACTGGTAAAGAAATAGGGGAAAATAATAGAGACAGAAAGTCAGGGCACTGAATAAGTCTGTTCACACAAAATTTTGATGATACAACAATACACCTAACAAAAATATCTTGAAGTAATAGTTTCATTCAAAAAATCAATTTTCCTTATTGTAAAATATGTTCATTCATAAGAATTCAAAACATTACAGACTATGTATTAAAAGCACACCCTCCCTAATTCTACTTCCAAGAAACAGCCATTGTTGACAGTTTATACTAGTAGTCTTCCACACTACTTTCCTTTATGTTTATACTAACATATTTTGTGTTATGTTTTTTATGATTTTTTAAACAAAATAAATTTTTTGTGTTATTAAAATAACTTAAAAGTATATTAAAACATTTTAAAACAAGGTATTTCTTAGAAACTAGCCAAAAATAGATGAGTTTGTTATTAGAGCAAAGATGTTTCTCTGTACAGTAACTGCCCAGGTAATTTATCCCTTTGATCGTTACATCCCCAGTAACCTAGTCTGTATATACCCTCCTTATGTGGATGGATAATGGAAGCACATTGGGGTTCTGGAATCAAAGTGGCTTGAACTGAATCTTTTATTGCTTACTAGTTCTTGGCAAAGATACTTACCTCTGCTTTAGGTTTCTTATGAAAAAAAGATAGCTATTAATACCAAACTAATAGAATTAGTGAGGTATGTAGGATAGTGCAAGCACTATTATCAACATGGCAGAATGTTTTAGTTGACCACATGCTTTCATCTGATATTGAATGAGGATCTTTGGCTGCAGTTTCTTTTCCTACGTTGAAACTAATTACTTTGATATAATTAAGCCTGGAATGGAAATTCCAATCCCCATCTGTATACTTAATTGAACAGTACAAACATATCTAAGGCCTTTCAAATGTACATATTAATTCTATTTCTAGAAATTTATTTGAAGGAATTAAAAGTAAAAACTGTAGTTCTAGCCAGGCCAGTGTGGCTCAGTAGTTGAGCATTATCTCATGAACCAGGAGGTAGGGTCCGATTCCTGTTTAGGGCATATGCCTAAGTTGCAGGCTTGATCCCCACTAGGGTGAATGGGCCATGTACCTGATAGATGTTTCTAACTATCCCTCTCCCTTCCTCTCTCTAAAATAGAAGGATCTTAGCTTAGTATCTGCCACATAAAAATTCCAGTAAAGATTAGCTACTTAAAAAAATTTTAGTTACAAAGATAGTTATTGCCACATTGTTTATAAATATATATATAAAAAAATCTGAATGTCCAATAAGGGATAGATTAAATTAAGGAAATGATAAAAATGCTAAAACTAGTGTAAAGATATGTTTTAGATAGAATGAGGTTACCAAACAGAATATAAAGTATAATCTATTGTTAAACCACACGCAGGGAAAACCATGCAAGTTTTATTTCTGGGTGGAATAATTATAATTATCATTTTCATCTTTTAATGTGCCTATATTTCTACAATGAGCATGTACTTCTTGTATAATTATTCTTTTAAGAAAATTTTCAGAAAAATTAAGCTAATTTCAATTTATGCCTGTTAATTTCTTTCTCCCTCTTCAATTTATGCACGACATGAGAGGCTAGTACAAGCACTGCCAACTTTACAAAGGTGAGGTCTAAAGAATTAATGTTAAATTACTTGGCCTCCGTCCTTTTATTATAGGCCAAAATTAAGCAATTATTTGTTTCATTGAATTGTCCTTGGTTTACACACAGTATTCTCTCATTTCTACATAATCAGGTATGTTAAAAAATGAAACAAATGTGCAAATTATATGGATGCTGAACCAACTGAATTGAGCATTTCTTTCCTCTTTTCTATAGAATCCTTTCATAATATATTTATATCTTAGAAATATCTGTGTCATGTTAGCTTGACAACTAGAACATGGAAAACATTTTTAAATGTAAAAAGAAGAGTTCTAACAATGCTATGAAGATTAACTGACCTAAGCTCATATTTGAGTATATAAAGACCCAAAATTTCAATAGAAATATAGTGCATATCTGGGAAAGGTTATATAAAACCTTCTAGAATATTCTTCAAAGAAACCAAAGCAGACTGCTTCAAGTAAGCTACTCTTAGACATCTTGACATATTTAAAAATTACTCATAGAATTGCAGTAATTTAATTATTTAAAGGCTTAGCTTAACACTCATGTTGGTTAAGATTAGTCTTATACTTATTATATTTTGGATCATTCGGAAAGGCCAAATTAACATGTTTAGTTACTTGTCCATAGAAGGTAAGACATGGAAACTTGGTTTCCTCATAAAATTACCGGTAACAGGAGCCTACAACACGAAGCCATTTTTTCATATCCCTGCCCTAATTACTATTATGTTTTTCACCAACAAACTTCCCAGACCAGAGAAACAATGGAACATGTTTCCATGACATAGTGCCACTTCTTTTAAGTCTTTCATCAAGTGTTCACAACACAGTCACTCTTCAAGCATGTTTATACAGGACAGCCGCCTCCGACTCTCCCAACAATTCATTCTGCAGAAATACGCTTCGGATAGAGTCAACTCCACCATTTCCCATTAAAGGACGTACATTACCCATACAAGAGGCCAACGACTCCCATCCCCAATTCTCCCCTATTAATACGTATTAATCACACGCCGCCGGAAACCGGGCCATTACCTGGAATTCTCAAGGGCACTGGGGGAAAACCCTGCACACTTCAACTGGTTCAAAAAAAAAAAAAAAGAAAGAAAGAAAGAAAAGAAAAGAAAAACGAAAGAAAGAAAATGGGGAAAAAAAGATTTCTGGGCCAGATGACCCTATAACTCATCTTCTCATGTGTGTCATCTAAGCTCTCATTTCTTACTTTCCTGCGAGAAAGCTGTCATGCAGAGAGAGACGGGGAAAGCAGGAAGGGCAGAATGAATGCAGAATTCTTTACTCAGCT